TTCAATGATGAAATCGTCCAGTTTCATGACATGAAATATCCATTTGATTTATGTATTCATCCGATGCTGTTTGTAGTAATGGAATGGAGTCTAGTTATCAACGTTCAGTTAGTTTATTGATTCAACAAAACATTATTATTCATTATATATTTACACCGATCGTAATTAGAAGGGCGTATTGTCGTAGGCAACTGGAGTATTTGTTCACTTTTATGTTGATGAAGTGGCTAACCCCGACAATGAAAGAAAGCACTACTATATCTAATTAAATCGAAGAAACAAAGAAAATTGCATAACATAAAATATACTGAGGAGTGGAAAATGCACACTGATAATGAATCCATGAGAATCGCTCGGAAAATCGCCATTTGAAGATTTAGTGAGTCAATTTGACATCGACTGTTCCCCAAAACCATACTCCATTTAGTATGTGTGATGTTCACACGAAAAATTCATAAGATGAATGGGGAAAGTATAAAAAAATCAATTTTGCAAAAAATACAAAATCGTCAATGAAATTTTTATCACTGATGATTTATATTATGTGTCGTTGGTTTATCTTGCTAAAAAATACTAGAACTTTCTTTTATTGGATGAATTTCCCTAATTACTCTTTTTTTATTGTTATATAGGGAGAGAACTTTTTCCGTCGAAAATAGCTGTAGTTTTTACTGTTGAAAAAAGTGAACGTACTACGTACTATGAATAGAATAGAATAGAATTTTATTTGACCAAGTTACAATTCTTATGTTTTTGGCAAGTCACTGGAAGTACAAAATGTTTTCCAAAAACAATTACAGAATAAAATAAAATATACACCTAAGCTATCACAAATATACATACAACATTCTCACGAATCTAACAAATCTAAAATACAAATTCTGTTGTTTTCGAAATGAAATCAACACAAATTATCGAGAAGTGGGGTGTTTTCAGATATTCATCAATAGAGTAAAAACAATGGGACAGCATGTGTCTTTTCAGTTTCAATTTGAAGCAGTTATAATTGAGAATCTTGAACTCTTGAGGCAGGAAATTATAGATTCCGATATTCAATGAATTCATTCGGGATTTGTTGAGCCTATATCGGGGAGGCCTCAAGTCGTTTGCCCCACGAGTTTGTTCCTCATGAAAATCAGAGTTGGCACACAAAGTTCTTTCACTCTTGTGAATTTCCAGAAGAGTAGAGTAGATAAATAGGGTAGGGACAGGCATAATAGAGAGTTGTTTGAAAATTTGTTGACATGGATCCCTGTAACCTGCACCGGCAATAATAATTATCGCTCTTTTTTGTATCTTGAAAACTTTACACGAATGAACAGAGTTTCCCCATAACAGTATGCCATAATTTATATGTGTATGAAAGAAAGAAAAGTAACAGGATCGCACAGTACTTTCGCAGAGTTGATTTTTCATGTTGCGCAACAGAAATACTGAAGTGGATAATTTCTGACATAACTGCTCAATATGGAATGACCATGATAGTTTTTCATCGATAACTATACCTAGAAGCATGACACTCTCTTCCCTGTCCGCAATTTCATTAGCAAAGACCAGTTCTTGGGTTTTGTCATTATTTAATTTAAGGTTGTTTGCATTGAACCAGTTTTGTGCCCTATCCAACGAATCGGCCATGGTGATTAAGAGACTTTCTGCATGAGTAGAAGTGTTGATTAAGGTTGTGTCGTCGGCGCATGCAACACATTTATGAGGAGACATAAAGTGAAAGAGGTCGTTCACGTAAATGATGAAGAGTGACGGGCCAAGAACGGATCCCTGAGGTACACCATGTGAAATAGTCTGAAAATCAGAACATGTCTCATTCATATAGACTGCTTGTTTTCTATTACTCAAGTATGACTGTATCAGATCGAGAGATAAGCCTCTGACACCATAAAAACGCAGTTTCTCAATTATAGTAGCGTGACTATTATAACAACAGCATTTGGAAACTGGTGACGACTCATATTTTCAGAATATAACTGATGATGTGCATTCCACTTCATTCAAACATCATCTTCACGAAGAGGAAAGGCGGAAAATTCTTTCTAATAGGGATTCAAGCCTTGGCATCATCAAAATTCGTGTTCTCAGAGATGTACTAAGGGAAGAACCCCGATCCCCCTGTTTGGTCTGATCTAATATTCCTGTAAAATTCGTGGAATTTGTGATCGATACGGCTTTGGAAATGCCCCAGTTTCCGCAACTCGTTACTTATTCGTGGTTCTGCATTTTTCTCGTCGATTTCACCCACGTCCAGTGCCGTAGTGGCCCCAAGAGTCAGTAGAGAAAAATATACAGGATGGCCCACGGTCGATGGTACCTTAGACGTATACGGAAAACGGTACATTGGATTATCCTGAAAATTTGGTTACTCTAATAAGCGTTTGTGATCTAACGATTCAAAATATTTTCAGCGATGCAGCGTTGCCACTTTTACCAAAAAGTAGCATCATCTTTGTTATTTCAAATGGAACACCCTGTATTTCATTGCGTTTTTAGATTCCTCTCAAAGAGCTGATTCCATCAATATATCACACTTGGGGTCCAGCAGGAATTATTACAGAGATATAGGGTGTTCAAATCGAGATTTTTCAATTTCAGGAATTTTTTGTGTCGAAACTATTCATTATCTATCAAAACGGCTTACATGTCCCTATCTCAACTTTTGATTCACTATCTACTGACATTTAATTGGAACAGATACAGGGTGATCAAAATTCTGAATCTTGGACCATACTGTATTTTTTCCAATTAAATGTCGGTAGATAGTTAATCAGAAGTTAATATAGGGACATGTAAGCCGTTTTGACCAATGATGAATAGTTTCGACACAAAAAAATCCTAAAGTTGAAAAATCTCGATTTTGAACACCCTATATCTCTGTAATAATTCCTGCTAGACCCCAAGTGTGATACATCGATGAAATCAGCTCTTCAAGAAAAATCTAAAAACGCAATAAAATACAGGGTGTTTTATTTGAAATAACGAAGATGATGCTACTTTTTGGTAAAAGTGGCAACGCTGCTTCGCTGAAAATATTTTGAATCGTTAGATCACAAACGCTTATTTTCAGGATAATACAATGTACCGTTTTCCGTATACGTCTAAGGTACCATGGGCCACCCTGTATATTTATTATACAACAGAAAATTTGAAGATATCAGATCGGTGAGCACTATAATATTACGATGGCTGCCATCCTAATTTCTTTTCACGATTTTTTTCTCTCAAGTAGGTACCTAAATATCTCTTAATTTACAGTTGTAACTGAATTAGTCCAAAATTGTAAATTGCTGATGATGAATGCAGGAAATATTTCATTAATATCATGTATTAATTTCTTTGTTCTATTCGAGCAAAAGATCTTAGTTGATTGCTACATCAGAATAAGAAAACGTGCTTGTTATCTCAAAGATACAGGGTGTCTGTAATAGGTCTTTACAAAAACATACCACATATTCCTTAGACCAAAATGAGTCGATTTAGGTAAAATTACCTCAATACAAAGTTGCATCGTTTGGGCTCCAGAGGGCCTTGAAGTTATTTTAAATCGTTTTTCCCATATAAATTTAAAACGGCAAATACGATTTTCCTGAAATTTGGTATATTGATAGAGTTTTATGTGGCAAAAAAAATGGTGAACAATCAGTGGGATTCCGTCGGAGCCACAGTTGAGTCCGGGGATGTAGCAGAAATTAATCTTCAAAGATGAGTCCCCTCGAGTACCTCTCGTCCGGAAATCCGAATGGAGAGGTATTTTACTTCCGGAGTGTTTTACTCTAGGAGACTTCATCATCTTTATTCATAGAGGAGAAATTGGGGGAAGGGGGGGGGGAGACGTCAAAATTATCTAGGTTTTGTGGCAATACAACATTTTCATTTTTATATCTGGTACTGTCTGAATTATAGACACATGAAATAGTAGATTGTTTTATTAGGATCAAAAGTGACACTTTGTTTGACAAGCGAATTTTGCATTTGCGAGGCGGAGCGTTTAGCGAAGCGGAGCGAAAGCAAAATTTGCGAGTCGAACAAAGTCACTTTTGATCCGAATGAAACATGCTATTTTTTCTGCAACCGAAACAATTAACTCAAATAAACATGTGAAGTAACCACTAATGCCGTGACATAATATGTATGCAATGCAACAAATATTGACAAATAATCCATGTGGTGAGAATATTCTACCTGCATTAACAGCAGGTTAGGTTTTCTAGGATGTTTGAATTGTAGTTTCAATATAAATACAACCACAGAGTGACATATTTGTTTATGGACCAGGTGCTCTAATGGCAAATACCGCGACAGTGCCAGCTATAGGAACAAGACGTGGAAAATGTTAGGTTAGTGAGCATATTAACAATCATAATAATAGCGATTATTTATTCCTCTCCATAATACAATGTTTTTCGCTTGATGATCAAATGAAGGTAAACAATATTGTTGTTCGAGACAAAAAACTATTGCTTGCCGTGATTATTCAAAAACAAGTTACCCATCCCGAGAATAACGAATGAAATACAGATCAAGTATTTGAATCTTGAATGCTTCCCTGATCAAAACAAAAATACTTAACTGAGATGTTTATAATTCCAATACTAATTTATAATAAGGTGTACTTATATCTCCAGCATCGGTATGAAATGCCAAATCTGCTGAAATCGGAAACAAATCAGGTATGCGTCTCAACCCAAATAACCAACCATCACAATGTTGTTTATTCTTGATGACGTCGAGTAGATCCTTTTTAGTTCCTAGGAGCTAAAGTTCAACTTTAGCTCCTAGGAACTAAAATTCGACTTTAGCTCCTAGGAACTAAATATGTTGCCTAGCAACATACCTATTTTTGTGTCAGTAATAGAAACGTCAATTTAAGAGCTGATTTTGGTATCAAAATGGACGACTTTTGTGTCGGTTGCAGAAAAACGTCTTTTCAATGACAGTTATGTAAGAAGACTGTTTTTGTTTCTCTCCAGAGCGGTGCATGGGGGTGTGCAATGGTGTCTGGCGATGGCGGAGGCAGCACGACCTCGCCGAAACCCGGTGAGGCGGCAGCCGGGCAAGCGCCGCCGTCCGTGCGCAGGCGCATGCCGCTGAGACGGGCCGTGGGCGGCGTCGTGGGCGGCTGCCCGCAACGGGGTGGACGCGGGCTGCCCCCCCACTCGACCCCCCACCCTCTGTCGGCGGGCGGTGCGGCGGGCAGGGCGATGCGCTACTACCGCCTCTGGATATACACGTGCAACACGGCGCTGCTGGCGGGCGCGCTGGCGTTCGCCGCCGCCGCCGCCAAGAGTCTGCTCTTCGATTTCAGAAGGTGAGGCACGACGATTTTCTCATAATTTCTCATATTTTCTCATATTTTCTCATATTTTCTCATATTTTCTCATATTTTCTCATATTTCCCCATATTTTCTCATGTTTTCTCATATTTTCTCATATTTTCTCATATTTTCTCATATTTTCTCATATTTTCTCATATTTTCTCATATTTTTTCATATTTTCTCATATTTTCTCATATTTTCTCATAATTTGACATCGAATTTCATATTAATAGACCTGAATAAGTGTCAATGAATTGATGTCAATTGAATAAAAAACTATTTTTCGACCTGTAAGAGCCTACTATACTGCATTGCGTGAATAGCTAATTTTGAAAATCAAAAGGAAGAGTTATCTACCAAATCTGAGATCGAATTCTTTATTTATTGGTCTGAATGAGTATGTCTTCAAATATTCTGGTGTTTTAAGGGCAATCACGAAATAATATGTTACAGCCTACCGCTTCGCGTAAATTGACCTATATGAACCTAGAGCAATGCGCGTGTAGGGCTAATTTTGAAAATCTAAAGGAAGTGTGTCTACTGAATCTGGCCTTTCTGGCCACGAATTATTTCTTTATGGGTCTGAAATAATGTCTATTTGGGTAATCAAAATATGTTCCGACCTGTATATATGAGTCTACTGCATTGCGTCAACATCTAATTTTGGAAATCAAAAAGAAGACTCCTTTACGATGTCGATATTTTTCTTTATGGGTCTGAATTAGTGTCTATGCATTTTTTTGGAATGTTTGGGGCAATCAGGAAAAAACTATTTTTCGACCTATATGAGTCTACTGCATTGCTTGAACCGCTAATTTTGAAAATCTAAAAGGAGAGTTCTCTATCAAATCTGACATCAAATTCTCTTTTTATGGGTCTGAATTAGTGTCCATGAATTTTTTGGGATTCTTAGGACAATCAGGAAAAAAATATTTTTCGACCTATATGGGCCTACTGCATTGCTTGAACCGCTGATTTTGAAAATCTAAAGGTAGAGTTATCTATCGAAACTGACTTCAAATTCTCTTTTTATGGGTCTGAATTAGTGTCTATGAATTTTTTGGGATTCTTAGGAAAATCAGGAAAAAAATATTTTTCGACCTATATGAGCCTACTGCATTGCTTGAACCGCTGATTTTGAAAATCTAAAGGTAGAGTTATCTATCGAAACTGACTTCAAATTCTCTTTTTATGGGTTTGAATTAGTGTCCATGAATTTTTTGGGATTCTTAGGACAATCAGGAAAAAAATATTTTTCGACCTATATATGAGTCTACTGATGCATTGCTTGAACCGCTAATTTTGAAAATCTAGAGGGAGAGTTCTCTATCAAATCTGACATCAAATTCTCTTTTTATGGGTCTGAATTAGTGTCTATGAATTTTTTGGGATTCTTAGGACAATCAGGAAAAAAATATTTTTCGACCTATATGAGTCTACTGCATTGCTTGAACCGCTAATTTTGAAAATCTAGAGGGAGAGTTCTCTATCTTATCTGACATCAAATTCTCTTTTTATGGGTCTGAATTAGTGTCCATGAATTTTTCTGGATTCTTAGGACAACCAGGAAAAAAATATTTTTCGACCTATATGAGTCTACTGCATTGCTTGAACCGCTAATTATGAAAATCTAGAGGAAGAGTTCTCTATCAAATCTGACATCAAATTCTCTTTTCATGGGTCTGAATTAGTGTCCATGAATTTTTTGGGATTCTTAGGACAATCAGGAAAAAAATATTTTTTGACCTATAATATGAGTCTACTGCATTGCTTGAACCGCTAATTTTGAAAATCTAGAGGGAGAGTTCTCTATCAAATCTGACATCGAATTCTTTCTTCATGGATCTGAATTAGTGCATATAAATTTTCTGGGATTCTTAGGACAATCAGGAAAAAAATATTTTTCGACCTATATGAGTCTACTGCATTGCTTGAACCGCTAATTTTGAAAATCTAGAGGGAGAGTTCTCTATCTTATCTGACATCAAATTCTCTTTTTATGGGTCTGAATTAGTGTCCATGAATTTTTCTGGATTCTTAGGACAACCAGGAAAAAAATATTTTTCGACCTATATGAGTCTACTGCATTGCTTGAACCGCTAATTATGAAAATCTAGAGGAAGAGTTCTCTATCAAATCTGACATCAAATTCTCTTTTCATGGGTCTGAATTAGTGTCCATGAATTTTTTGGGATTCTTAGGACAATCAGGAAAAAAATATTTTTTGACCTATAATATGAGTCTACTGCATTGCTTGAACCGCTAATTTTGAAAATCTAGAGGGAGAGTTCTCTACCAAATCTGATATCAAATTCTTTCTTCATGGATCTGAATTAGTGTCCATGAATTTTTTGGGACAATCAGGAAAAAAATATTTATCGACCTATATTAGACTACTGCATTGCTTGAACCGCTGATTTTGAAGATCTAGAGGGAGAGTTCTTTATCAAATCTGACATCAAATTCTCTCTGTATGGGTCTAAATTAGGGTCCATGAATTTTATGGGATTTTTAGGACAATCAGGAAAAAAATATTTTTCGACCTATATGAGTCTACTGCATTGCTTGAACCGCTAATTTTGAAAATCTAGAGGGAGAGTTCTCTATCAAATCTGACATCAAATTCTCTTTTTATGGGTCTGAATTAGTGTTTTTGAATTTTTTGGGATTCTTTGGACAATCAGGAAAAAAATATTTTTTCCACCTATATAGCCTACTGCATTGCTTGAACCGCTGATTTTGAAAATCTAAAGGGAGAGTTATCTATCAAATCTGACATCAAATTCTCTTTTTATGGGTCTGAATTAGAGTCCATGAATTTTTTTGGATTTTTAGGACAACCAGGAAAAAAATATTTTTCGACCTATATGAGTCTACTGCATTGCTTGAACCGCTAATTTTGAAAATCTAGAGGGAGAGTTCTCTATCAAATCTGACATCAAATTCTTTCTTCATGGGTCTGAATTAGTGTCTATGAATTTTTTCGACCTATATGAGTCTACTGCATTGCTTAAACCGCTAATTTTGAAAATCTAGAGGGAGAGTTCTCTATCAAATCTGACATCAAATTCTCTTCTTTAACACGAATTTCGAATATCTAAATCTGACATCGAATTCTTCTTGTAGGAGTCTCAATTAGTGTCTATTATTAGTAGGAGCAAAAAAATCATTAGGTCCAAGCTGACTAAAAAAATCAATATCAGATAATCAATCTCTTCTCTCTTTGTTTTTCATCCGCAGGTCCCTCATCCCATCGCTCACCCTTTACACCCTCCGAGAGGCTCCTCAACGCCTACTGGCTGCTGCTACCTTACAATCAGAAAAATAATCTCATCTCTCTTTGTTTTTCTTCCGCAGGTCTCTCATCCCCTAGCTCACCCTCTACCAGTCCTCCTTCCTCAACGCCTACCTGTCCCTCCTCACGCAGAGTAACGACCTCCAGCTGCCTCTCCGAGAAAATCCTCAACAACTATTGGCTGTTACTGCTCGTGATGCTGTTCAGCGAGACAGCACAAGGAGAAAAATAATCACATCTCTCTTTGATTCATTTCCTTCCGCAGTTCGCTCTTTCCATCGCTCACAGTCTACCAGCCCTCTTTCCTCTAGGCCTACCTGGCCCTCCTCACGCAAGGCGGCGACCCCCAGCTGCCTCTCCGAGAAACTCCTCAACAACTATTGGCTGTTACTGCTCGTGATGCTGTTCAGCGAGACAGCACAAGGAGAAAAATAATCACATCTCTCTTTGATTAATTTCCTTCCGCAGGTAGCTCTTTCCATCTCTCACAGTCTACCAGCTCTCTTTCCTCAAGGCCTACCTGTACGTCCTCACGCAGAGTAACGACCTCCAGCTGCCTCTCCGAGAAACTCCTCAACAACTATTGGCTGTTACTGCTCGTGATGCTGTTCAGCGAGACAGCACAAGGAGAAAAATAATCACATCTCTCTTTGATTCATTTCCTTCCGCAGGTAGCTCTTTCCATCTCTCACAGTCTACCAGCTCTCTTTCCTCTAGGCCTACCTGGCCCTCCTCACGCAAGGCGGCGACCCCCAGCTGCCTCTCCGAGAAACTCCTCAACAACCTATTGGCTGTTACTGATCGTGATGCTGTTCGGCGAGACCACACAAGGAGAAAAATAATCACATCACTCTTTGATTTATTTCCTTCCACAGGTCGGTCTTTCCATCGCGCACAGTCTACCAGCACTCCTTTCTCTACGCCTCCTCACGCATGGATTCGCCATCCAGCAGCTACGAAACACTCCCCAACGCCTACTTTCTGTTGCTGCTCGTGCTGCTGTACGGCGCTCATTCCATCGCTTATCCTCTATCCTCCTATTCCTCAACACTATATCTTTTCCTCAACGCCTATTGGGTGTTGCTGCTCACAAGTAGAAACATAATCTTTTATCTCGTTTTCTTTTCTTCCACAGGTCGCTCATCCCCTCGCTCACCCTCTACCAGCCCTCCTTCCTCTACGCCTACCTGGCCCTCCTCACGCAGGGCGGGGCGCTGCAGCTGCTCGGCTGCCTCGCCGCGCTCCGCCTATCAGAGAAGCTGCTCAACGCCTATTGGCTGCTGCTGCTCGTGCTGCTGTTCGGCGATGTGGCCTTGGGCGCTTTTTGGGCGTTCCGGTTCGAAAGGGTGTGCCACGAGCTGAGGCCGGCTCTGCGCGTGAGATTCTATCAGGAGTACGGGGTACAGGAGGGGTTCACGGGGATGTGGAATAGGTGAGGGATTTACTGAATTATTTATCAATTTTATGGATCTCACCAAATTCATTTTTATCGATTTCATCAAATTTATCGATCGTCATTGGTCATATTTATCAAATTTATCGAATTTATCAAATTTATCGATTTTATCAAATTTATCGAATTTATCGAATTCATCGAATTTATCGACTTTATCGAATTTTTCGAATTTTTCGAATTTATCGAATTTATCGAATTTATCGAATTTATCGAATTTATCGAATTTATCGAATTTATCGAATTTATCGAATTTATCGAATTTATCAAATTTATCGAATTTATTGAATTTATCGAATTTATCGAATTCATCGAATTTATCGATTTTATCGAATTTATCGAATTTATCGAATTTATCGAATTTATCGAATTTATCGAATTTATCGAATTTATCGAATTTATCGAATTTATCGAATTTATCGAATTTATCGAATTTATCGAATTTATCGAATTTATCGAATTTATCGAATTTATCGAATTTATCGAATTTATCGAATTTATCGAATTTATCGAATTTATCGAATTTATCGAATTTATCGAATTTATCGAATTTATCGAATTTATCGAATTTATCGAATTTATCGAATTTATCGAATTTATCGAAATCATCAAATTTCTCGAATTTATCGAATCTATCGAATCTATCGAATTTATCGAATTTATCGAATTTATCGAATTTATCGAATTTATCGAATTTATCGAATTTATCGAATTTATCGAATTTATCGAATTTATCGAATTTATCGAATTTATCGAATTTATCGAATCTATCGAATCTATCGAATCTATCGAATCTATCGAATTTATCGAATCTATCGAATCTATCGAATTTATCGAATTTATCGAATTTATCGAATTTATCGAATTCATCGAATTTATCGAATTTATCGAATTTATCGAATTTATCGAATTTATCGAATTTATCGAATTTATCGAATTTATCGAATTTATCGAATCTATCGAATCTATCGAATCTATCGAATCTATCGAATTTATCGAATTTATCGAATTTATCGAATTTATCGAATTTATCGAATTTATCGAATTTATCGAATTTATCGAATTTATCGAATTTATCGAATTTATCGAATTTATCGAATTCATCGAATTCATCGAATTTATCGAATTTATCGAATTTATCGAATTTATCGAATTTATCGAATTTATCGAATTTATCGAATTTATCGAATTTATCGAATTTATCGAATTTATCGAATTTATCGAATTTATCGAATTTATCGAATTTATCGAATTTATCGAATTTATAGAATTTATAGAATTTATCGAATTTATCGAATTTATCGAATTCATCGAATTTATCGAATTTGTCGAATTTATCAGATTTATCGCATTTATCGAATTTATCGAATTCATCAAATCGGTCATATCTATCAAATCCGTCAAATTCATCATTTATTTCAAATCTAACAAATTCATCCCATTCATCAAATCCATCAGATTAATCAAATCTATCAAACGATGTTCTTTGAACATTATAGGGATTTCCTTTCGTGCGCGCCAAGCGATAAAAAAAATCCATCAAATCCATCAAATCCATCAAATCCATCAAATCCATCAAATCCATCAAATCCATCAAATCCATCAAATCCATCAAATCCATCAAATCCATCAAATCCATCAAATCCATCAAATCCATCAAATCCATCAAATCCATCAAATCCATCAAATCCATCAAATCCATCAAATCCATCAAATCCATCGAATCCATCACATCCACCAAATCCATCAAATCCATCGACAAATCTATGATTTCAGACGATGCCATTTACCTCAAATCAGTTGAATTCGTCAAATCAATCAGCTCTGTCAGAACATTTTAACTCACCAAATTCGTCAAATACATCAAATCCACAAAATTCATCGAATTCATAGAATTCGTCAAATTCTTCAAATTATCAAATTCAAATCCATCACTCGAATCTATCAAATCGATCTACCCCATCCATTTATCGAATCCGATCGAATCCATTGATTATATGAAAATAAGCAAACCCATCAGTTCTATAGAGTCGATCAAATTCACTATTATTGCTACCAAATTCAATGAACTTGTTCGAGCAGTTCGATTAGATTCTTCAATTCTGAAAGAATCAATCAAATCTATAAAGTTCATCAAAACCATCAAATCTACAAATCCATCAAATCTATCGAATCTACAAAATTCATTAAATCCATCAAATTCTTCAAAGCCATTAGATGCATTAGATGCATGAAATGCATCAAATTTATCAAATCGATATCAGTTAGACTTAAATCGATAAAATCGATCTAATCCATCAATGTTATCAAATAAATAACATAGAAATCGTTCTTTTGTCAGACTGCAAGAGGAGACCTCCTGCTGCGGCGTGACAGGTCCCGAGGACTACAACAGCAGCGTGCTCCAGCTGCCCATCCCGCCCAGCTGCTGCCTCAAACCGCCCCAGACGGCGGGAAACGGGACGTGCCTAGGGGGCGGGCTGCCCCATGGGGCAGGGTGTGATGAAAGGTTGTTGGCTTACTTGCGAGCCACCGCCTCCTTGCTAGCGATATTGGGGTATTGTGTGCTGGCCTTCCTCAAAATGTGCTTCCTTGGTGAGTGCAGAATCTCAAGTTTATTTTGTCAATTTTGATTATTTTTTACTTTGAAATAGGAACGAGATTCTGTTAAGAAAACTCGAGATCAATCTGACGGTGACAGTTGTCAAATTATAGTCAAGTACTAACTGACCCGCCAAACATTGTTTGACTTATAAGAATTATTTCTAGAGAATATTTTTCAAGTTGGAAATTCATCGACACACTTTTATCATTCAATATTATACTTCTTTTAAATTTGGCAATCTCTGATTAACTGACCAATTTGCCATCGTAACACAAAACCTTCAATAATAAACTACAATTTTTTCACTATTTGACGTTTGTCAAATGAACAGTATTTCCACAGCAACCTTTTCAAAACCTTTCAATCCTGTTGCCGGCCCCTGTACATCATAATATTTAATATTTTCCAGGTATTTTGCGGTACGAAATCCGGGAGATGATCCAAAAAATCCGCATCCTGCGTTCGGAACTGGAACTGCCGAACGTCAACGGAGCAGTACCGGGTACGATGCGAGCGGAAAGCGCGGAAAGCGAAAGGGAATCGCTGCTGGTACGACCGGAAAGTGCTGCCCTACTCTCCTCGCCCCCCACACAAACGAAAAACCCCAACGGTAACAACAACTACGAAATGAGGGAATACAGGTATCTACGTAATCATAGCTGCTGTATAAAGACAAATGTTAACTTCAAAATAAGGGTTGATAAGATATTGTATTGTATGCATAAGGAGTGCGACCCACGACATGCGACTGCGACCTGCGACTGCGACTACGACTGCGACTGCGACCTAAAAGATCCACTTTGCCCCATTCTTCTGTTAAACCCGATGAGGTTGTTCTCCGTATGTCTATTGCAATCTTTCTAGTTTCATATTCCTCAGAAATTTCTGGATATGAGGTGGTTCTAGGTAGGGTCCCTTGATGTAAATTGACGTATTTGTCATCTTAACAGGGTACGGGAGATCATAGCTCCTTTCTTTTTTAATGATCTAGTGGCTTTGGCTTTGTGTATTGGCGTATTGGCGAAATCTTACAAAATGTCCTGCGTTAGGCTAAATTTCAAGTGAGCTGCCTGAATGTCCTGACAGCCCAATAACTAAGTTCAGTAAATGATTGCATGGTGGCAGCACATACGGGCAATCGCAAAGATTACATTTGTTTTTTGTTGATTTACGAGAATTTTTTCAAACTATTCGTTATGTATCTCATGAAATGTTGAACTGTTGTCATTTGCCATTCGCTGCTGAGGTAATCTCGTGATTTCAGTGATATTTCCTCTTATTTTGCATTCTTTTTTCGTATTAGTATATTATTGGTTGGGATGGAATCAATTTGTTTGAATTTCTCAGTGACATCAGTTTGCGAGAAGAATCGTTTTCTGCAATTTTGGAAGGAATGGATAAGAATAACATTTCTGTAGATGTATCTCTGACATATTGTTGATGACTCATACATTTTAGCATTAGAACAATAGTTAGAGGAAATTACCAGTCTGAAAGAGTCAGCTAAGAATAGAAAACATCATAACCTATATGATCATAACCAGGATCATAATATAACAAGCAAAGCAAAGGCGCTTTTGGCATTGACCACAGAATGACGGCTAAGCCGTCATTGCTGTAGATATCTGTATCTGTTACCAGTGACCTCTGTCAATTTCTAGGTTAGCATAAAAACACTTGAAAATTTGTTCAATAGATGTCGCAGTATACGGGGAATGGGCGTGGCAAGGTAAAAAAAGAAGAGATCTCTAAACGCGAAATCCGCTTAATGGACAGTCAGGTTCAGGTCGGCAGCCCACTTGATATTTAGCCGTCATTGGTTAGGCTGTATCAATCAGTTGGATGGCAAATTCGAATTACAGTTTTAATTAAAACGGAGAATTAAAAGAAGAGGCATATGGCCTACCATTTAAAAAATCATACCTGTAAAAACTGCAAAGAAGATACCCCACATGAATATATAAATATACAGCACACATGACATATGACCACATTTGTTTAAATACCTACATCAAAGTGTTCACCATTTCTCAACCATAAGGCTTAGTCTGGAACCAAAATTCATTCAATATTTATAGGTACAGCCGAAGAACAGTTCCATTTGGTAAAACATATTGAACTTATGCTGGAGTTGAAAAATCAAGAACTCAAAAATTATTGATCATCATTTGGATATAATGTCCTCAATATAACCTAAAAAACAACAAATGCCAGAAATCTAGTGTTTATCCCCAGAATTGAATAAGGATGGAACTATATAACTATTTCACAAACACTTTAAAGTGAACGAGGATCTGTCTGTACCCTGTAAAGATGACAAATACGACACTTCGCATAAAGGGATCAGGTAGGGTACCTCCTAGTTCCTCCTCCTCTAGTATGTGTGCTCCTAGGTTTCTTGTCCTTGGGTTATGTGGAGTGAAGGGTATAAGATCACCGTTCAACCGACAGTGCCCTCTGAGGACTCCTGTTAGTAAACGAAGTTTATTTTTGCTTGAGCTGTCAAATCAGATCTGTTGTGGGTATGTACCCAGTGATATCTTAGCGTGTCTGAGACCTAGAAGATTTTCCTTGATGTCTAATCTCTGTTCAGCTTCTTCTTTTCTGATTTCTATTGTTACAATAGTGCTGCCGATCCCGCAGAAGGATTCTGGCCTCTAATTCATTTCTATTTCACTTCGGAATGTCCCGTAACCCATAGTAGGGTGACTGTATATATCTACTAACTACTAGCTAGCTCCTTCAGTTTTTCTCGGCATTTCCAAACCTTTTTAGAGCTGATAGCCATGGGCAATACATTGTCATCAGCAAAATGTATTAAATGAAGCGTTTACTAATGCTTGTTGGGAGATCGTGCTGAAAAGTTAAAAAAATGGTGGTCCAAGAATCAAGGCTTTTTATGAAAACCAGTCAGATTTTGTCCCTTCCAAGCTCACAAAGAGGTTTATTTTCAATATAGAAGACCAGATCAGATCAGATTTAAAATATCTCTTCTGAAACACCAAGTTGAGAATGGAGATGAATGCTTTGAAAACATGCATTCCGGTGCAGTCGGGACTTGCTGAGCTGTACGCACTGAGGGAAAAAATTTGTAGCCGTTACTAAAAAATTAGTAACTACAGAAAAATTTTTTAGTACGATAGGGGACAGCAAGCATTAGTTGTTGCCACAACTAATTCTGTTTTTCTGGAAACGCCTATTTGCCTCAAATAAAAAGTTTAGTTGAGTCATCTACGACGTTGTTGTGGTAACTAATAAGCCTTTTTAAGGAATAAAACCAAGTTTTATTTGCCACCATCAAGATACATAGTTATGACAATTAGATTGTTAGTACTGTTTCAATATAATATATGTTTGTTATCACAACAAATTTTCCCAGTTGGGGCAATTACTCATTTCTTCTGACGTTAATAGTGAGTGTGTTGTTGCAAATTAAATATTCAATTTTGACTGAAATGGAATCTAGTTACTATTAAAAGTGATTTAGTAACGTTTGAAATATAATTTAGTTATTCTGGCAATTTAATAGTTTTATATCAATTAAAATCAAGGCCCCATTCTAATAATAACAGTTTGTATGCCATTTTCCTTCCAATTTCCAATGGAATCGTGAATTATAAATATACACCGTGTACGTGACGACGGTTGGACGTTTCTCACCGTCGCCCGTCGTAAACTGAACTGAATTGTGAATAGGTACCTAAACCTGATAACTAGTGACGCACAGATAACGATGGTAAACTGCGAATTATTATTTTGCCAACCAAATGCCAAATGGCTCAGCGCAAAGTACAAAAAAACACAAAACAGTGATTTGAAAACACACAGAGCAGTGAACCAGCAAGAACACGACGCTCCCGGCTACACTAGACAATTATTTTATTCATTTTGTCTAAGCTCGACGGCCGTGCGATCTATCCACTATTAGATACAAGTTCAAATGATGAAACAGAAAGACAAACAGATGCAAGATGCAATTTTTGCCGGTGGGTCCCGAAGAGACGCGAGGCGGTCCCGAACGACGCAGTACAACTAAAATTATTAGTTATGTCTAAACAATTTCTGCTATGAATAATAATAAACCTTTAACGATAAATGTGTCATCAGTTGTGGCAAATAGTCAGCTGTTGTTAGTAACCCCAGAATGAGGTTTTTTAACCCCAATATGAAATTTTAATTGACTGAATAGACAACACTGTGATAATTCTGTCACAAATAGTATTTTTATTGATGACAAATAATTGGCGAAAAATAGAAAAGTCATTTGTAGGAAATAAGAATACGTTGTCATTGTTAATAAAATTCCAAATATTTTTAATTATCGGTACCTACTAGAAAAATACCAACTAGACGTTTTAATTAACCAGTTTTTCTCAGTACAGGGGCGAACTAAGGCACTATTCAAACTGATTTTCCGTTTTTCAGGACGAGGGACAATATATGACTAAAGATTCGGCTAGAAGGCCTGTTCAGTCGCGGCAGATGGGGCCGCGTCAAGAAAGGCCCTATAGCGACTCCACTGGAAGACATCTTCAAGAGAAAGCCTCGGACAAGGGTCAAAGACGACCCTTGCTGAGAATCCGAAAATTCGCCAACTATAGAGACCGGGGTGTGAAAGTGGTTACGAGAAGAAGTGCACACAAACTTATTCGGTTCATTTTTTTATCGCCCTGTATAAAAAAAACGAATGAGAACGCTGATTCATGTTGAGATATACCATGACCATCACCACGATGATAAAAGCACGCATTTATTTCGATTTTTTTCTCAATGAACACTTTATAGAGTCATCAGACCATTCAGCAGGTTTGTAGTAACCATAGATCTAAATATACACAACTAAATTCACCGTAATTATTGCAGTGGCGTCCCAGAGGGTGTAAATCATTGTGCTCCTTCTTTTCTAAGTTTCATATTTTCATTCGTCCAACAATAGGAGATACAGCTTCCTTATTATCTCATTAGATTTTTCGTATTTTCTTGTGTTTTCAAAAAATAATCAAGACCTGCTATAAATCCAAATTCTAATGTAGCCGATCACACTAAATTTGTGGAACCTTATAAAGGATGATAATGAAAATGGGTAAATACTATTCATAACATAAAAAAACTGTATCTCTAGAACTGAGCTAGCTCCAAAATATACAAGTTTTTATCATTGCGAGTACTGTCGCCCATAAAATTGTCCCTATTGAATCTGAAACACCCTGTATATATGATATCTGATTTCTCATATTTTGTGTGCATTTTTTCTCTACCCTCGCCCCAAGAAATTATATTCAATGACCTAATAAAACATGTTGTGGGGCCACCGTTACGATTTCTGAAGAATAAAAAAAACCTAGACAATGTACAGTGTATATACTACTAAAAAACTTAAACATAATCTAATATTCGTAATTTAAAGTAACGATGTGATAGAGTGTAGTATAGTTAAAATAATACTCATCGAATAGTTCTTGAGATAAATAAAAGAAAACGTAATCGTGGCTCAACTTGGTTCTGAAATATATTGACTGTACACTGTAATGACTTGAAAAAACATATAAATTGTCAGCGCAAGTAGAATTAATTAGTTAGACAAAATACTGATTAGAGATCTTGCAGCTGTAAATTCGCATTCCACGAGATGTTCTACACTTGGGGTGGATAAAAAAAGCTGGTGAGTCCCAATTACAGCAACATATTTTGTTTTCAGCTTATTATTCATTTTGTAAACTTGCAGAATACCTATGAACGTCTGAGTATTTTGCAAAGTTTGGAAAAATGAAGAAGGTATAATCGTCGCCTCAGAGCAACACTAGGACATCAACGAAATCTTTAGAACTTCCAAGTATAAACCCAAATGGTGTTAATTAGAAATCGAAAAATGCTTCTGGAAAAAAATAATATCGACCCACTGTTGCTATTGAACTGTATGACATTTTGTAGGATATCGAAGATCAGTGTATCTCTTGAATAATCAGCATTTTGGTAACAATTTCATCCTGCAGAGAAGAGTACTTTCATCTTGTTACACTCTTATTCATTGATTCAATTCAAATATATTGGGGGAATGAACCTAACAGAAAAAATAATGAATAGTACAAAAATGAAGATCGCTGGAGATTGCTTGGCCATTCCAAGTATGTACTGGCCGCTTGATAATGAATCATTTTTTAGTTCAATCTTTGGATTTATATTCATGATAATTCACTGACTATCAAAAACAGACCTATTCTGAGGGCGTTTTCATCAGTTTGATTGTTTCCAGAATACTGGACATGATTAGACATAAGTATCGAATATGGGCGATATATAGATTATTATTAGGATATCTATAAAGTATTGTTGTGAGAATCTCAGTATTTTCAGTGCATTACATTAACTCGATATAGATGGAACATCTGCAACACAAAGATTTGTTGAAAATAAAATATTTAATGACGTCATAAGGATTGTCTTAGTGTTCCACTAGGTGCCGATATAGTTTATAATGCTAAAACCTCAATAATCTGGAAAGCCCTATTTTTTTAATGTTCTACTGTTGCTCTGAGGCGACGAATATATGTGTAACAACAATTCTAAAAACTCTTTGAATATTCTTTAGCTTCCAAATTTTTCGTTAATCTTTTGAATATTCAACAGCGGGTTCGAAAGTCAACCAAAATCAACCATATCTTCCTTCCAGTGAATACTATGAGACATCGAAAAACAGGCCGATTTTATTTTCAAGGAGGACACTTAAAATTATTAGTTTCAGCTCTCTTGGTTAAACCCCCTAGGAAGGGTGGATGTTACCCTTAGAATCTCAAATGGGAAGGAGGGGTCAAGTGGCACATCATCTTGAAGGGCGTTCGAATTTCTTTTCAACGATACCCTAGTTCATCATTGTTTGTTTCTGAAAAATGCCGTGTCACTTAGAAAACTATGAAATATGAAAAATCCAAAAGACACGTCAATTTCATTTCCAAAATTTGTTAATCACAGGGGCGTCCGGAGGGGGAGGCAAGGGGGAGCGCTCGCCCCCCGCCCTACCGCCTGGTCTTTACTCATCAGATACTTTCTGAACAAGATACATTTGCATTATTCAATTCCTATTCTGATTAGCGCTTATTATAGTGACTTTCTGAGACTTTGTTTGATTAGTATTCATCGACATCTTATAGATATATAAAGAGTTAATTTTATCAACGAAGATAAATTGATAAATTCGCTCAAGACTATGAGAATGCCATTTTTGTTTGAACAAGATTATGATTATCATCACGTGCAATTTTTTATTGTAATTTTGGCTGAAAACAGAATACCTATGTGATGTCAATTCAATTAATATTCTTATTTTTTGTTCCATGTTTTATGTAGAATAATAGGAGATTATATATCGAGAGAGTAAAGTGCATGATTTTTCCAGAGGTGGTTTTGTAGCCAGAGGGTGCTACAATGCACTGAGGAAAGAAAGAACTCACTTCCGAGGTTTATATACCATTTTTGCACGACTCGAAGATTCTAATTGAAAGAATCTTATGATAAAATCAATAATTGTCATTATGATAGTGAAAATCTGAACACAATAATCACAAAATGAAGTTTGATTATCATGACTACCGATAAAGAAGAGTAGCCATATTGCTTTTTGTGAACATCGAGAAAGTGTGGTAGCATATTTTCTCAATTGCTTTCCAAAGTTTTTATTAATATTGCAGGAATTTGTGGAAAAACTATTGAAGAAGCTGCTGCAAACATAGTGGTTGATTTATCGACAGAAAATCCCGGAAATTTTTTTAGCCTAGAGAGTGCCTACTCTGTATACCCTGTATTCCCTGCTTTTGTCGGTGTAAAATCGCTTAAGTCGTGCAAAAACAGTTTTGTTATATGTTCTGAATAATGTACATTATATTTATTTTGACTTGCCCCTCCCTGAGATTATTTCTGCGGACGCACCTGGTTAATTATGCAAATATTCAGTAATTCTTCCAAATATTCTGTCCCATAAGGCAGCAGAAAGAAAACGTTGGAACGAACGTGGCTGCACATCACCTTCTTGAAAATACTGTCCTGAAGATGTTTTTTTTTTAATATTGTTTCCGAATAATGAAATTTTGTATTTTTACTCAAATTTCCATGCTGGATGGATGGATGGAAATTATTAATTGAACCTGAATTAACATAAACCAGAACAAATAATTGTTATTGTATGAAAGAAAATTTTGTCATCGAAATATCAAGTATTTTTTGTTTTTATATCGTCATAATATTCTACCATATTTTTCTTGGCATGTTATTTTATGTTCCTATTGATTTTAGTCTAGAATTAAGCATCTTCTCGAAATAAAACAGGAGTAGGGGAAACTAGGGCAACTTTGTTCAGAAATTTTGATATAAAAAGCACCTTCCGAAAAGCCTCTATGAAATGCCTTCTCACCATGTTTATTCAAAACTGCTTTCTTATTTACGTGCCAATTTGATATTACACATATTTTATTAATAGAAATATCTTTTTTCTTTACAGATTGTCCACTTTGAGTGTAGCCATAAAATGTATCCAACTTGAGAAACAAGGGGATTTTGAAAAACAAGGGGAACTTAAAAGTTCGCAGACTTTTTGTGAATGTGGGCCGTAAGGACAGTGAACAAATTTCTCAAAAAGTGGACGCTTCAGAAGATAAGTGTGTTTATATGAGCTTATAATATGTTAAATTTAAATAGTGCCTCGCTTCGAACGAAATAAAAGTGCATCTCGGTCAAGAAAAAAGTTCCATTGATAGTTTTTTCCATTATCAATATCCGCATTATTCCATAATATATTTCTTCTGATTAACCAAGTAGTATATATTTACATGTAACTAATACGACAGGTATGTTTCCAGATAAGAAATACTCCTCTGTGTAGGTACTGGGTCATAAAAAAACGCAGAAGAAATATAATGTCATGAAACGATGTATCCTTGAAAATATACGTATCACACAATCAAAATAGAAAAATCTCAAACATGCCGTGATATTGTCCTTCATTTTTTAATAAGTCAGCCTGTATACAGTGTCATTCATAAAGTCGGCATCATATGGGAAAAACTTTTATTGATGACTTATTTTGGAATTCGAGTTGGACGTTGAGTTTTGCTTCAAAAAAGATGAAAAATGGCCTACTCAATCAGGGTCACGTGACTTTCGTTACATGTTAAAAGTGACATTTTTTCAAATTAATCGCTGAAAGTAGGCTTATTTGTTCCAATATCGAAAAAGTTTACTTGAAAAAGTTGTTTCTATTTCAATTTTACACATGCTTCTCGAATTTGATCTTTCTATTGCAACTTTTAGATTTTGTTTTTTTTTTCAATTTTTCGAAATTTCTGTAATATTTGGAGAATTGTTAATTCCACGAAACTACTTTATACCAGTAGCTTTTTCATGCTACTTACTTTCAATTACTTATTATTACTGATTATGGACAGAAATATGATTTTCTTCAGAAAATGATAATACCCGCTTCCAAATTCTGTTATGTTTGATGCAAAGTTGATATATCGTCAAGCATATAGAAACAAAATTCATTTAAACTGATCTTTTCAGTACTGTAAAAATAAATTCAGATGAATTTCGTTTCTGAATGCTCGAATCAAACATAACAGAATTTTGATGTTATGTTTGCATCAAACATAACAGAATTTTGAAGCGGAGATTATCATTTTCTGAAGAAAATCACATTTTTGTCGATAATTAGTGATAATTAGTAATTGAAAGTTAGTAGCATGATGAAACTACTGGTATGAAGTAGTTTTATCGAATTAACAATTTTTTTTAATATTACAGAAATTTCGAAA